TGACCTTCTCTCGAGGTCTTTTCAGCTAGGCTTACATTTCGCTCTTGCTGACTATATGTAAAGTATCTCAGACATGGCCTTTTTTGTCCATCTGCTCAGCTAAATCCATCACTACTCGGGCTACCAGTTACCACAACATTCATTTTCACTTTTTTCCCCTCCCCCTGGCATAAGAAGTGAAATCTTGCCTTGATGATGTCTGTTGAAAGCAGTGCTGTTTCCTACCCTGGATTCACATCATCTCCTTTCATCCTGCCGCTGGCTTCCCTGTGATTGTGATCCCGTGCAAGTCTTTACTTTTGAAGCCACCTATGTCCCATATCTGCTTCCCTGCTGTTTCCAATTCCCTGTTTATTTTCTCTCTGTACCATGCGTGATGCCACCTTCTATCCCTCACTCATCCACTGTTCAAACAAGCACCACGTTTCACTGTTTCTCAGAAGGAATTTCTGCTAGGCATAGACAATGTTAATTGATTCACTGCCCACAAAAGCCTCTAAAAATCCTCTTGGTTGCTCATAAAGCACTTGAAAACAATTAGGCTGTTGTTATACTTAGTGGGCTGCCTATCATAGAATTGTTTAGGTTGGAAAAGACCTTTATATCATATAGTCCAACAATTAACCCAGCACTGCCAAGTCCACCACTACACCATGTCCCAAAGCACCACATCCACATGTCTTCTAAATCTCTCCAGGGATGGTAACTCCATCACTTCCCTGGACAGCCTGTTCCAATGCTCGACAGCCCTTTTGGTGAATACAGTTTTCCCAATTTCCAATCTAAACCTCCCCTGGCACAACTTGAGGCCATTTCTTCTTGTCCTATCGTGATGGTACAGATTGCCTCAGTTTCCTTTTGTTTCACCATCTGTTTGCCTCAATGTGTCGTTTCTTATCTTCGTGTGCATTATAAGCACGTTGAGAACAGAATCATCCTCCTTTCTTTGTTTCCCTTTGCATGCTACCAAACACAGCTGGGGGCTGGTCACAGCATTGCTCATCTCCTACATCAGTCAAGACATCATCTCCAGCACCCTCCTGTGCTGGTGCATTGGGTCTCATTGGTAGCACATTTATTTATTGGGGTTTGCTTTGGAGCTAAGACTTCCCTGCACGTGCTGGGGACTGTCCCCAGTTTGCTGTTTGGATGTGGATGTGCTGAGCTGCTTGTTTGGAAGGGAAGGCAAGATTTACACTTAAGGTTGTGCTGTATCGTGCTGCTTGGCCTTGGACCCAGAGGATTCTCTCTGGTGTGTTTTATTTAGTAGCACACAAGTAGCCTCAGACACCAAAGGTTACACAAATAAAAACAGACGCTTTTGATGGGTGTCAGCATTTTTAATGAGGAATAAAATTAAGCCCTGGATACTTCTGACCATTTAATGGCACTATTTTTTTTGCCTTGCATGCTGTTTTATTTCCCCCCATATTAGATGACAATTGCCTCAAGTCCTGGTCTGGTGGGATTATGCCAGATACCTGCACAGTTGGAAACTCATCAGCGATTCAGATTCCTTCAGTCTGGATGTCAGTTTTATCACAAAACTTGTAAAGCTTACCATGGTGATTTCCCATTTCCTCTTTAGTAGACATTTTGTTTGAATGCCATGAAGGGGCTCCTTTCTTGGAGCCCCCAGGGGTACAATAAGCTATGCTCTTTGAGAGAGGCTACAGGAGTACAAAGTTCCCTTCATTAAATTTTCCTTTCGTGCTTTAACATAGAATATTTCTGTTTAAAACACTCTCTCATTTTCTTTTGTGTCTTCATCCTCTTACCTTGATGAGATTGTGGTGCATCCGCTTGATGGAAAAGGTGGGGGTGCTGCTCCTCAGAGGTTTCTTCTAGTACACAGAAATATTCTGCTGGCACGTGAGGTGCTTGAGGAGCAGCTGGAAAAGGGAAAGCAGATCAAGTAATTGTAAACTTAATAAAACCCCATCGTTACTAGCATGCCATGTGGTGCAGGGTGCAGATCAGACCGCTGTTCATATTGACTTTCAGCCAAGAAAAGCGTTTGAGATTTCGTGTGTGTTCATTCTGTAAGGTAGTTATTGAGTTGCACTGGAGATGGAGATGTGTTCCCTGGTTCACTCCTAGAGTGTGTATTTTTCCTTCAGTTTAGTTGTGAAATTCCTAAGCAAGTAACTAAATAGAATTGTGGGACATTTTCCCTGCCACATGTCCCAGAAACACAGATCTCTTAGGACATGGGATAGTTCGGGGAAGGGATGTCCTGCTCGATGCAGGGTCAGCTCTGGGACCAGACCAGATTGCTTTATCCATTCAAGTATTTAAACCCTCCATGTTTTCACTATAGATCCTACATAATGAATCTATGATTCTCTGATAATTACTCATTTTGCACTGTTGACTTACAACGTTTTTCTTCAGTCCAGCCCCACAGACCTTTAAATAATGCTGTAAAATGACCTTTCAGAGCAGTTCTCTGTTAGGGAGATATTTCATTTCCCTTTTGAGGAGTTTCCTTGCTGTTGGCAGTTTCTGACCATCCATCCGAGAGTCCTGTCATCCATCACCAAACAGAAATCAATCTCAAACCCTGTGGTGGGATTACCATAATGCACGATGCAACCTTCTTTCCTGAACGGGAGATCCTGCAGCACGTGGTTTATGGCCATCTAATGTTAGACACTAATCTCATTTAGTGTTTTCCCCAAAGTGCAAATAGTGCATTAGGGTAACGTAACAAGCACAGCAGATCGATATGGAAACGGTGCTCTCCTTCAACAGATTAATCCAAGAAAATGGACTTGTTGACTTGAAGGAAGTGGCCCTGTTTGCAGTTGACCTGCACTGGGTCTGCAGTGCCTGGAAGAACAGGCGATGGGCTGAGAGCACGTCTTGAAAAATCATCTCTAAAAAGTCATAGCATGAGAACAAGTAACTATGGGGCAGGAGATGACGTGTCTTATAGGGATACGATAGTGTTGGCAACATAAAGAATCCATTGAAGCATTCAAATAAAGGATAATACGTGGACTTGGAACGGTCACTAATGGCACAGCTCAGGGAAAAAAGCAATCAAACCAGCTCCTTAATGTGGGTTTGAGCACCCCTCTTGAAACATTTTTAAACACATTTACAGATTTTATGTAGCAAAGTGTCCAGCAACCCATTTCCTTCCCTCTTCACCTTTGTAGAAGAAGTCACTTTAAAATGGTTTGTGAATAAAGACACAGCTAGATATTCTGAGTGTGGTTTTTGTTAACTCATGGTCTATTGTATTGGTTTATCAATCCAGACCAGGCTTTCTGACATTTAGAATGAGCTCTGTTTTAGTCAAACCTGAATCATCACCACTGTAACATCTACAGAGAGCGTATGTGGTGCTTCCTCTCGTGCTCCATCCCTGTCCAGACCTCACCATAATCAGTGTGCAGCAGTTTATGGTCATACATTTTGATGCTTGGCACTCTTTTGAAGTGCTTGCTGATATCAGCAGAGGGGGGATTAAGGGAAAATCCTCATACCTAAGAGTCTACAGAAGTTTGAGCTTTAGATCATAAAATGTGTAAGCACCTGGGACTGCATTTGAATGCTGGTTGTCACAGATGTAGGGTAATGAATGAAAAGAGTAAGAGAGATGTTTTATATAGGTACATACTGTAAAATCAAGGTGACTTAACATTCCTTTTTCTTAGTACTAAATCTTGAGTGATTGCCAAGAAGTCAATTCCCCTAAGGAACATCATTGTGCTTCGCCTTTCACTGTCTTGCTGTAGTAAAGTAGAGATCTGCCTTGGCCAATCAGCAAAATGGGAAGGAACAGAATATTCATCCAAGGATGCTGTGGCTGACAAGTGGCAGGTTTTTTACAGCCTTATTGAACTAAAAATAATGTGAGCTGGATGTTAAAGCAGCCACTGTCAGGCTTTCCTCATAGGGTAGATGGGAAGATGCATGTAAAGCAAATGGTTGTTTTCAAGGCATAGGAACTATAAATGGTTTTCTAAGTTTTCATAGAGTTTTTTCCTACTGTTGAAATATTTTGTCTTTGGTGTGAAAGGGGTTTAACTGTGATTTGATTGTCTCTTATAGAAATGAGAACCTTAAAAAGTATTTATAAAGTAAATGTCCTGTTAGCTTAAAATTTCAATCGACTTCTTGTCTCTGAAACACTTCAGCAAACCCCCTTCTTCTGAAATAGGAAAGTATTGATTCCCATTTTAATTCTGTGGTACTACCAGTGTGGATAACATTTTATGAATTAATGGAAATCACAAGATCTCTGTCCAAAAGAGATTGGATTTTACAAGGCGGACTACAGAAGCTTCCTTTCTTTTGGCTTCTACTGAAGGCAGAAAGTATACTGCACCAGCCAAAAAGATGGCAAGAGTAATGAATCCATACAGTAAAGAAAACAGGCAAAATTCCTAAATAACTTGCACATCTGGTGTCAGGATTACAACTGAGGTGATGGCAAGGAGGATGCACCAGAAACAGAGGCTATTATCAGATCAGCAAAAGTAGGTTGTGAAATTAGCTGATGGTAGCAGGGTTTTTATAGTCTCGAGGTCAGGCCAATGGGTGATTTCACTTCTATGCAGGAGCAATACTTAATAAGTAGCAACATGATGTTGTCATAAGGCTATAGAGTAATGAAGCTTTCCAGTGGATCTGTGACTTTCTCGAAGGTAGGTGAGCTCAGATGTACTTTGTCATTGCTGGGATCTTATATGTCCTCATATGAAGTGGGATGTTAATTTTCTCTGCCAGCTGGCACCTGACTGCTGCATCAGGAGGACACTTGTGGTCCTAGTAGCCAAACTTGTGCAGCTCACATTGATGTTTGCATCTGATCTCATGCACTTATTTCCCAACTAGCTCGAGAAACAGCCTTTCTTGATTAACTCTGAAGTGTTTTCCTTCAGTACTGTTTAGTTCACTTCTTGAAAAAAGAAAAATAAATAAAAGAATTGCATCTTTCCTGAAATCTTTTTGAGAAGGAAACAAAAGGTTCTTTTCTCTTTCCCCAGGAGATACCAAACTCATCCAGTCTGCGCTGATCTGCAGGATAAGATTCTACAGTGTTATCGACAACATGCTCAGGAGACCCTGAGCTGCTCTGCCCTGGCTAACCAGTACCTGCACTGTGTCAATCATGCCAAACAGGTGAGTTAGAGATCCTGCCACTGAAACAATGATGGAATGAAGAAGAGAGGAAGACTATGGGAATATCCGATTAGCCCTTCTTACATGTTTCCAGTGTGTAGGTTCTCAGAAGCTCTGTGGAGTCCAGGTTCAATTTATTTAAATGCTTGGATTTCTATCTCTTCCCTTGGGAAGCTATTGTGTAGTGTAGTAGCTGTCACTGTTGGCATAATTTTCCCGGTATCTGCAGTTTAGCAGTAAAAAAATGGGGATTAAACTATGTGGTGCTGCTTGTCATATGTATGACAAATGGATGTCTCAAACTAGATTGCTCACCCGTTGGAAGTCTTGATTTCTTTTATGTTTATGACTCTTCATCAGGGACTGGAGCAATAGGACAAGGGGTGATGGGTTCAAGCTTAAACAGAGGAAGTTCAGGTTTGATATAAGGCAGAAGCTCTTCCCTGTGAGGGTGCTGAGGTGCTGGCACAGGGTGCCCAGAGAAGCTGTGGCTGCCCCATCCCTGGCAGTGCTCAAGGCCAGGTTGGACAGAGGGGCTTGGAGCAACCTGCTCTAGTGGAAGGTGTCCCTGCCCGTGGCAGGGATTGGAGCTGGAGGAGCTTTAATGTCCCTTCCAACACAGACCAGCCTGGGATTCTATGATTCTGTGTAGGAGACAATGGTTGCATGGCAGTGCTAAAGCTGTTCCTCAGCCCACAACGCTTACTGCAGTGCTATTACTGTTAATTCTTTGTTTATACAGTCGATGTGCTCCTTTTTGCACACGCAGCCTGGCTGCATTGGCAGTCTGGAAGACAAATTCAGCTACCAGCTGTAGCGTGGTTGTTCTCTGAACACTGCAGGATGAGGACACTTTGTCTGGCTGTCTGGGCAGCTCTGAAATCACTTTATGATACTCAACTTTGCTATCATTAGTGAGGAACTTAATCAGGATCCGTGTAATGACAAATAAAAGTCAGTGTGATCACCCTGTTCTTTTAAAATCATTTTCTTCAATATATCCTTTGTCAGTTCGTCCTCCTGCCCACTTGTTAATGCTCCTGAGCTCCTTCATTTATAGAATCATAGAGTCATAGAACGGTTTGGTTTGGAAAGGACCTTAAGATCATTTAGTTCCAACCCCCTGCCATGTGCAGGGACAACTCACACTAGACCATGTCGCCCAAGGCTCTGTCCAACCTTGAACACTTCCAGGGATGGAGCATTCACCACTTCTCTGGGCACCCTGTGCCAGCACCTCGGCACCCTCACAGTAAAGAACTTCTTCCTTATCTCCAACCTGTTAAACTTCCCCTGTTTCAGTGTGAACCCATCACCTCTTGTCCTATCACTCCAGTCCCTGATGAAGGTCCCTCTCCAGCATCCTTGTAGCCCCCTTCAGACACTGGAAGCTGCTCTGAGGTCTCCACGCAGTTTCTCTTCTCCAGGCTGAACAGCCTCAATGTTCTCAGCCTGTCCTCAAAAACTCTCCAGCCTCCCACATCTCCCTGCTCATGAAAATCTTTCCTGATGTCCGAGCCTGAGGCTTTGTTTCAGAAACTACTGACCCTTTATATTAAGTTTGGAACGATGGTTGAGCCATGCTTACATGCTAAGCATGAGGAGTCCAACCAGCTTTGTCCAGGTGCCTTCCTTGGGCTCCAGGTGGAAAATCTTTCTCATCCCTTTCTTCCTTACACTATATAGTTCCCCATGACCTTTTGAACTAGATTTTTTGCCTTTAAATTGAATCTATTCCATTAATTCCTATGACAAGTAATGATTGGTCTCTAAGTTACTTCTAAGTTTTCCTTTAGTGTGATTTTTGTATTCCGAAATCCAGTCTGAAGTTACTGGACCATGTATGGGTTTGAGACATTTAGATAGATGACCTGTGAATAGTATTAGGTTGTTATGGAGTGAATTTAGATCTTCACTGTGGCTTCCATCCTCTGAAACACTAATTTATTGTATTTATAATTTGTATTATTCTTTGAAGTAACTGAAAAAATTCAGCTTAATTACGCTACACGTTTAAGCTATAACTGTAATTTGTATCTGATAGGAATTCCTTCAGAAGACTGTGATGAGGATGAATTAATTCATGTTCAGAAGGGGCAGGAAAAGGAAACCGCATAAATTCGAGCATTGGGTTTTCGAACCCTTTTAAACACCTTTTTATTGTTGAAGATCTTCAACCAAACCTGTCAAGTAGTTGAAAGTGTTTCCTAAATGTTTCTTACCTTCTTTCATACATGCTTCAGGATTAGAATTCAGAGAGGTTTCTCTCTTAGGATAACAGAGAAAGAAAAGCCTTTTATGGTGGATACATTTGCAAGCAGGACAATTGGTTTTCATCAAGAGCATTAGTCTTCTCTAGCTCATCCTCCATGTGTTGCAGCTGTAATTGTAATTATTGTTACTCACTGATTGCCCAGAAGTCCAGACTGTGTAATTGCTAGATGCTGCTATAAACTGCCTCAAAATTACCTTCTCTGTGTGCTTGGTTGGAAGGCAGAGGAAGTGGCAGAAATAGCAGAGCCAGAAATGAAAAAGTTAACTGACATTGCCTACAAGAAACAAAGAGAGAAGAAAATTTGCTAGAGGGAATAGACCAAGATATTGAAAAGCAAATAAGTTAACTAATCCGATTTCCTGGCGCTGAGTCTGGGCACTTGTGCTCAGGCTGAGCACATTCTGTGCCTTTCATAAATTGAATTTATTGACTCCCCTTTCTTCCCTATCTTGCTTATAATTATCTCACCCTCTCTTCTGTATGCTCCTTATTTCTCATCCTGTTGGTAATCTCATGTCTCTATCTGTCCTTTTCTCCCCTTGTTAGAAAAGCCCAGAGAGTTGTTAATTCAGAGGAGTTTGACACATTGTTGTATCTTCGCTTGAGATCTTCTCCCAAAGTCATGAGAAGCCAGTGAGATAAATTAAACTCTATTATTAATGTTTGAGGTTTATTCTAATAGTAATGGAGAGAAAAACTTACTTAATGGAGCCATTAAGGGGAAGATATTAGGCTTGTCTGTAGCGTGTATTTGTGCTCCCACTGCTGAAGTAACTCCAGCTTCAGTCACTGCACTAATACAGACCATCCAGTCGCATTTTAATCACTTACCCTGGTCTGCTGCCCACTGATATGGACAAGGTAGCTGTTAAAATACCCTTTTTTCTTCCTCCTTTTATTTTTCCCTGGGCTACAGGGAGTCCAAATTCATATATGGAAACACAACTGGTCTATACCTTAATGAAGTCTATGCAATAGTTTCCTATTAGACCATTGAATTCCAGAGGGATACAAGTCTCTGCAGGCAGGTGAGATTTCAAAGTACTTCAAAGAATGATACCAACAGCTTCTGGGGTTTGACAGCTACAAAATGTTATTCCTCAGCCTTTTTAGCATTGTTTCAACCATCATATTAATTTGTAGCTTGGAGTGGTCCTTAATCATGCATCCTAGTCAGAATAAAACCATTGTTTTAGCCTCATCCTCCAGTATTTTTACTAGAGACCATCTTCGACTCTAATAGAAAAACATGTAAAATCAGTGTAGCTGGAAACTGAACTGAAACACGATGAAAAGGCTTTGTCTTTAATGGCCAACATTTCCTAGAATCATAGAATACTTTGGGTTGGAAAGGACCTTAAGATCATCCAGCCCCAACCCCTGCCCCGGGCAGGGACACCTTCCACTAGAGCAGGTTGCTCCAAGCCCCTGTGTCCAACCTGGCCTTGAACACTGCCAGGGATGGGGCAGCCACAGCTTCTCTGGGCACCCTGTGCCAGCGCCTCAGCACCCTCACAGGGAACAGCTTCTGCCTTATCTCCAACCTGAACTTCCCCTGTTTCAGTGTGAACCCACCACCCCTTGTCCTGTCACTCCAGTCCCTGATGAAGGTCCCTCCCCAGCATCCTTGTAGCCCCCTTCAGACACTGGGAGCTGCTCTGAGGTCTCCACTCAGCACTACCATTACTGAAGTAAGTTTGTTATGGAAAAGTCAGACCAGGTTCCCTTCATTGGTGTTGTGAAAAAAAAAACCACAAGGAAAATGTTTAAAATACTTTAATTTCTTATGTGACCAGGAGTCATCAGAGAACACTAAAAACCCCCAAAACATGTAGAGAAAACCAAAGCCCTGAAGACTCCCGTTTGTCTGAAGATCAAATTTTGTGGGGAGAAGTATGCGTGTTATGAACAAATCCCTGTGATTTCTTTCCTTAGGATACTAAATAAAAGTAACACAATTTTTCTCAGCTCTGTGGGGAATTTCCTACGTTAACTTCTGCGGTGTCAAATTTATGTAAAGTTAATATTCAACCCAGTGATGGCTCTGAGCAAGTTCTATAATAGCACTGCAAAAAGAGTAAAGGTAAAGTAGCCTTCATCAGTTTTACAGCAGTCTCCATGGGGATGCTGTCAAACTGAGCTTGGAGATTTTGTTAACTAATACAAGTTTCCCTTCTTTCTCTCTATAATGGCACCTAGGGAGCATAAAACCAACTCCTTCTATTCTGTCAGCATGTGCTTCTCCTCCATGGATTCTGGGGAATGTTGTGATCACAAGGACATTCACCATCTTTTCATGTGCATGCTCTCCTGCTCCTTGGCGCACCTCTTAATCCTTGCAGAAACACTGCTTGATCTACTTGAATGGTTCACTGGGTTATTTTTAGTACTACTGTGAGGATTTGGTTGAAGACATACGTGAAAACAGGCTTTTTAGTCCCTTTATTTTTAATTTTCCTGAATTCTAACTTGTGACTCTGACAGTTCAATCCATGCTGGCAAGACTCTGCCCCGTCTGGCCAGATACTGCTGCTCAAATACCCAAATCAGCCTTAGTAGGTCTCCTGTAAGATTTCAAGGCTTACATTTGGGTTTCCTTCTGACATTAACAAATCCCTTCCTACCATTTCTTACAAGGAGACTCTTATGTCTTTCCCATTTTATAGATTTTGTAGGCGAGAAAAATAGCTTTAAGCTCCCTTCCAACCCAAACCAGTCTGGGATTCTATTCTTATTGCCTCAATGTCATAGTCTTCCAATGAACACTGATGGCCTCCAGCATGCTTTTACTGCCTAGCCTGTCAGTGTCCTGTTAGGTCCCACTGTCTGTTCTCCATACTGGTCTAAACAAGCAGTATCCATACCTGTGCTCCCTTCTGCAGACCCTTTATTTCTAGATCATGGCAGTAGGAAACTTTTAGTCGAGCCCTACATACTGTCCTTGCAAGTCTGCATGTTCATAGTAGAGGCCAGGGCCTCTCTGGAGTCAAGACCTTGATGGCAGAGCTGTCTGGTGTGGCAGGAAGAATAACTCTTGGACTACTTGACAGATCTTTACTTTTAGCTCTTGGTGGCTGATTGTGCATGGGAGGGAGGTGATGAATGAAGTACAAGGTCAGTGCAACACGTTAAGACTATTGAGCTTTTGATTATGACTCAGAACACAGGAAGGACGTAGGTAGGGGAGACACTTAGTGTTCTATGACTTCAGGATATATTTCCTTGAGTACGTAATTGCTGGGAATGGGATTTATCTTATTGTAAGGTCAGGGGTTTTAATTTCTTTAATAGCCAATAGCACTAGAGCCATGATAGCATTAGGATGGATGAAGAGGAATCATTACTGCAACTCTGCAGGCCTCCAAATGGGGAGTCCTAAGATAGCTTCATTCTGTTCCTGTGGCTTGTCTCTGTGATGGTGTGTGTGTTGACAGTGTTTCTTTTTCTGTGTTTTTATTTAAGCAATTGCAAATCCTAGGAAGGAATTGTAGCCAAACTTCAGGGAGTTTCTGGAATAACTTTGAGTTACTGAAATACGTGTTTCTCCCTCTCTCTTTCCCCCCCTCCCTGACCATTTTCTTAGCAGAGCATACTTGGGAGAGGAGGATAAAGGCATTGTCCAAATCAAGCACAAGACCATCAACTAATTTCAGCAGAAGAGCGTTTTTTACCCCGAGAATGATATGACAGCCCATTTACAGGGCAGGCCAATAAAGAGAAGAACTGGAAGAGCCGTTTCAAGAGCAGCAGCCATCACGACTCAATCAGTGTGACCATTTGAAAAGCCAAGACCTGTATCTTATTACATCAGAAATCACAGAGCTGAAGATACTGTTCAGTCTTAGTGAAATCCACTTAGTGGTGATTGAAGGAAGAAAAAGAAAAGAACCTTTCACTGACCTGAGAAAGGGGAAATATCCTTCAAATGCTGCTATTTCACTGTAGAATCTCCTCTAAAACTCCCTGTCAAAGGCACGGGTATGTAACACTTGGTGTGCCGGGATGTGGTGGCACTTTGTGAGGAGGTCAGCCCCTGGTCCTCACTGTACACACAGCCTGTTTTCCTTACCATGTATCATGACTTAAATTGTGCTTAAACTTATTTCACAAGTCATGTCACTAAATGAAGTCTCTCTCCAGGTCTTCTGCTGGAATGATGTTAATGATCCAACACTTAAAATGTAACATGGCCTTTATTTACATGAAATGATTCTGTTGTGCTCCTTGGTCCTATCAAGTACTGACGAATATGCCTCACGCTGTACCAACAATAAATGTATTTTATGCACAAGATTGATGGTTCAGTCTGTCTCTCTTTCCATTCCTCAGGGGCGGATGGTGTTCCCTCTGCTGTGTCAATCATGTTTCACCAGCAGATGTTATTGACAAAGCTTTAGAGCATAGACTTCTCTGCATATCCAACCTTGGTTTCAGGAACAGTACTGACATAGAACTGTTTTTCATCACAGCAACCTAAAAGGATCCCACATGATGGTGTGCTGTGATTCATGCACCACAAGTTTCTTTCCTTGAGAAGTGAATGAAAGGGCATGGAGTGCCTAAACCTGCAAAGCATCTTCATGCAAGAACCCAGTGTGATTTAACTGGGTTTGTTCAGATAACAGCTGCTGTGTTCATCTTACCCAGCAACCTCAGAAAAGACTTTATAGCAATAGCAACAGCATCAGTGTCAAATAAGTGATGTGCCTTCTGCTAGTTATTTACCTGTTCTGTATCTTTAATTGGCCATGTTGAACTGCATCCCACTGTACAACTGTGAGTGCACCTGTGGATCTCATTTAGGCTTTATTCACAATATTGCCACTGACTCTTCTATTCTAATTCTCAAGATGCTTTGTGAGCACTGTTTAATTAAGGGTTATTTTTTATTCCTACAAAAAGAAGCTGGGCTTTTGCACGTGTGAAGCAACTGTAATATCAGGAGGAAAGGAAGATCCTGGAGTTCAACGTCAGGTGCCAGGTAAACTGCTTGAGAGAAATAATAGGGACATAAGCAACGTGTTTACATGGTGGCTTGCTGTAATGTTTACCAATCAGCTAACTCACAAATTCGCCTTCATAATGTTCTCTTTTGTAACAGAGAGCCAAGAAGTTGGCAGATCCGTCCTTGCCAGGCTCAGAATTGGCAGCAAAATGCAGCACAGAGGAGAAGCAGATGTTTTTAAGGCCAGATGATTCTGTAAAATCAAGGGAAGAGCTATGTCGGGAAGGAAGGTCTCTGTTACTGCCAAATGTTTATCGGTTTCCCATCCTGACAGCCTTGAGCAATGGGAGTCAGTCTTGCTTGCTTTGTTCCAACTGTGTTTTAGGCTTCATTTGAGATGTTGTGTTCTTTAAACATCTTCTGTATCGTAAATGGTGGCATCTCTGGCAGGTGCTGCTTGAGCTTGGGGGATGCTGATTGCAATAAACACGGTGCAGACTTTAGAACTGTCCCCATTGTGGACAACTTTTGCCTTTAAAGTAGAGCAGCAGTTCTGAATGTTTCTGGGGTGAGGTTCAGTTTGACACCTCTTCTTACCTTTGCCATCCCCTCCTTCTGAGAACTTGCAGCTCTGTCCTTTCATCAGTCTTTGACGTCCTTCTTCTTGTTGGTGTGGACATCAAGCAGGACACTGTTCTTTGGAAACGGAGTTGAGAGGTAATGTCAGACATTCCTGCTCAAGGAAGCAGTAGGTCTGCTTAAAATAGACATTTTTGCAAAGGCCTGTAGGGACAGGCCAAGAGGAGTGGCTTTAACCTGCCAGAGGGGAGGGTGAGATGAGCTCTTGGGCAGAAGCTCTTCCCTGAGAGGGTGCTGAGGCGCTGGCACAGGGTGCCCAGAGAAGCTGTGGCTGCCCCATCCCTGGCAGTGTTCAAGGCCAGGTTGGACACAGGGGCTTGGAGCAACCTGCTCTAGTGGAAGGTGTCCCTGCCCGGGGCAGGGGTTGGAGCTGGAGGAGCTTTAAGGTCCCTTCCAACCCAAACCAGGCTGGCATTCTGGGATTTGCCATCTTTTGTTTTGCAGCTGGACTAATGATATTTAAAAACAAGGCTTCATAGAATCTGAAGCAGCACAGGCAAGAGGAGTGTGTGCTGATGGTTTATGGTACTGGGGAAGAAGGAGAAAAAATGCTAGTTCTAGCCTGTCCTGGACAATGTTCTTCCTCTTCCAGCCAAGACTTACCTTGTAGCTGCATTTCAAGACTGAAAATCTGTGAAGTTTCTCATTTGTCTCTTTTTCTTTAGAATGGAAAACCTATGGGGAGGTCTTCCTCCTCCTCAGAAATAGCCAGATCACTCTCTAAGATTGCTCACTGCCACACTGGGAATTTGAACTCAGCTTAATGGATCCTGATCTCAGAAGGGGTGATAGGGGAGGTGTTCTCTAGGGATAATGGGTGAAGGCATGACACTGGTAGAGAATCATTTCAGATGTTGTGGTTGGTCATTCACAAGCTCTGATCAGCTGTAACCAAAGGGCAGTTTCCTGTAGGGTTTTAAAAGGAAAAGCAGAATTGGAACAGCTAAATCAAAGCTTGTCATTGTTCTTCACTCGGTGTCTGTGGAACAAATCACAGGTCTTTCACTGGTGTCAAAATAATCACTCCATCCTACTCGCATGTAATTTAGACTCTTTCAATGTGAGACTTCCTTCCCTCAGGAGTTGTGTGTGTCTGGGACAGATCACGTAACCTTGCAGAGCTGGTTGGGTTTTTCCACCTACTGGGATATCCCAGCATTACAGTTTTAAGCAGGTATTTGGAATTAGCTTTAACATGGAGATGGATGGAATAAATTTCACAGCTCAGATGGTCACTGCTTTGTTCTCTTCTAGGTCCTGTACCCCTTTTGAGAGAATCTGAAGAGGTGAATGGGTTTTCAGGTGGACCCTGTCTGAGTGAGTTACATGTCATCTCCCAAACTGATAAAGCGATAGGAGCGGGAGCCTTCCCCTTTCCCATCCTTTGTGTTTTCCTCTCCAAACTAACAGAAATTCTAGACAATATTCTTCTCTACAAACTGTTGCAGGGTCTTCCCCTCACCTGCAAATGCAGGTTGGGTTTGGGCAAACTGAGTATTTCTGGTGTTTTCTTTATATTCTCCTTTCTGCTCTGAGCACCTAGAGGTCCCTAACCCAAACCACTGTTCATCACAGTAGGTATAGCCAGGACAGAGCAAGGCAGTCTTGCTTCCCAAATAGCAGCGACAGAGAAAGCAGAGGGGTTTCTGTGTTTGGCTCCAACATCTCTTCAAATTAAATCCTCCACAGGTCATGATCAGCATTAATGACACTGTTTGTGTTCATGCTTTAAATGCAATGAAATTTCCTTAAAGAGCTGGGGGCTGTTCAGCTCTGGGGCCCCCAACATAAGAAGGACGTGGCGCTTTGGAGCAAGTTCAGAAGAGGCCACAGAGATGCTGCGAGGGCTGGAGCAGCTCTGCTCTGGAGCCAGGCTGAGAGAGCTGGGCTGGGGCAGCTGGAGAAGAGAAGGCTCCTGAAGGGGACACCTTAGAGCAGCTCCAGTGCCTAAAGGGGCTGCAGGAGACCTGGAGAGGGGCTTTGGACAAGGGATGGAGGGACAGGCCAAGGGGAATGGCTTTAACCTGCCAGAGGGGAGATTGGGATGAGCTCTTGGGCAGAAGCTCTTCCCTGTGAGGGTGCTGAGGCGCTGGCACAGGGTGCCCAGAGAAGCTGTGGCTGCCCCATCCCTGGCAGTGTTCAAGGCCAGGTTGGACACAGGGGCTTGGAGCAACCTGCTCTAGTGGAAGGTGTCCCTGCCCGGGGCAGGGGTTGGAACTGGGGGAGCTTTAAGGTCCCTTCAACCCAAACCATTCTGTGATTTTCAGGGCTAAGCACCCACTGTCACATCGAGGTTCAGGGGAGCAGTGAGTGACTACCAGAGCCCGGGTCTTGAAAGCCTAAGACAAGTTTCAAGCAGAGGTCTGGAAAATGAAGAGGAGTAAGCCTGGGGATGTGAGGTCAATTGACAGTGATGTTGATGTTGGGGTTTGCTGGAAGAACACCCCGCTACTTTTAGCTCTGTGTTGGAGAGGAACATCTGTCATCTCAAGTCACCTTCCAGTTTGCTCTCAGCTGCTCTTCTCATCAGAGGGAAAGGTATCAAATAATGCTTGGAGTCAAGTACATCTCTAGTTTCATCATCTAGTTTCAGCATGGTGGTGATCCCACAGCACCATGCTCAGGATATTTCCACCAGAGAAACCCATGCACAGCAAAGGTAATGTGCCCTTCCATAGTCTGGCAGCAAAACCATCACTGCAATGCAAACTTGTATTCACCAGCCAAAGGAGCTAGATCAGTCTCTGAGGAAGAGGGAGACATCCGGAACTGGGTGTGAGGAGCACCATGGTGTGAAGAGGACCTGGGTCTTCAAGTCATCGCAGAAGAGGAAGGCAGGTTCCCATAGAGCATGGGGCACCGAGCCAGGGCAAGGTGTCAGCTCTGCAAGGATGTCAGCTCGAGGTGAACAAAGACACTGGGTAATTAGAGAGGTAATTAGTTTGGTAATTACTAAGGTAATTAGTTTGATTGTCTCTCAAGCCAGTAACTGCTGGGAAGAGAACACTCAGCACTGTGCTGGAGGGAGCACCTTGAGTTGAAGTGCTGCAGCAGCCCCCCGCCAGGTTAGCCCTTCTCCTTCTATGGGAAGCATCATCTGACATTGAGAAGAATGGGATGGTTTGGAGGAAAAATATCCCTGAAAGGTCTGTTTGTCACTGGTCTTGTGCCAAAAATATTTTGAGCCACCTTCCAATGACATCTAAAAGTGCTTGTGCCATGGTCAGGGGAGGACCTAAGGCAGCAGATAAACCCAGTGGTGATGGGGGTTTTATTACATGCTGTTAAGACTGCTGAGGGCACCTTTTGGGTAACCACTTCAAAGTGTCCCCATGGCTTTGCTGCTCTTGGGAGATGAGGGTTGTTCCAGTGCTCCTTGTATTAGATCCTGAACATCCCTTCACCCATGGGCTGCCCTCATAGAATCCCAGACTGGTTCATGTTGGGAGGGACCTTACAGCTCCTCCAGCT